AGAATCCGGGCTTCGGGGTAATAAGCTTATCTATTACTAGAATCTTGGGAGCAGGCTTTATATAAGGGGCGCTTCCTAGGCTTGGCTTATCTATATCTTTATTAGCTTTCTTAAATACCTATTCTTTCTTTTTATAATAAGTTCGGATTTACTAGTTATTTATAATATAATATTATATAAACTCTATAATATAAATAGCCGGGTTATTATAGTATATAGCTATAGCCTTTTAGAGCTTCCAGGTAAGCTTATTATTTAGGTTATTCTTAAAATCCTATAGATTAATATTTCCGTCTACTATATACTTTAGGAATAGGATATAGAACTTCTAAAAAATCTAGCTCTTTTTTATAAATAGCTTTTTAAATACTTGCTAAGTATTATATTCCTTATTTGGGTTATTATATAGCTCCTCTAGATAAGTATATAGTTCCCTAATAGTCTTATATATATATTAATTATCCTAGTTCAGATAGGAAGAGATTAGTATAAAGATATAGCTATTTATATAGCCAGATATATAAATAATCTTAAGGTCCTTTATCTAATAGGTATTAGAGTTACTATAGAGCTTATTCTTAATCTAAACTAACTAATTATTAAAGGTAATACTATCCTTAGTTATGTCTTTAAAAATAAAAGAGTTAGGAAATTTAACTAAGTATCTATTTTCTAGAATAAGGAAACTAGTTATTTTAGTAAGCTATATAATAAGCTTCTTAATAATAGCTTTATTCTTTTATAAGACTTACTTAGTTTCTTTTAGCTAATCCCAATAATTCTTGCTATAGGCAAGAATATTATATGTCTTTAGAATTAGCTTAATAATTTCTTTATATAAAGCCTCTGGGTTCCAAAATAACTCTTAGAACTTTGCCTTTAATAAGGCAGGTCCCTCTTCTTTCTTTATTTTCTAGAAAAGAGTATCTCTTTTACTATAAATATTAATAGAATACTCGGACCTCTCAGGAAACTTAATAAAAGGCTCTAGTTTACTTTCTAGTAATATACTAGTAATATCTTATACTATAGCTTCTTCTAACTTACCCAGTTATTCCGGGACTTGCTTTCTTATAGATCTTTATTTAATAATAAGATTACTAGCCTATTTACTTGCCTGGCTAGTCTAGGGCTTTCTTGCCTAGTTATTCTAGGCCTTTCTTTTATTCTAATATTAGTTAATTAGTTCGAGAATAGCTATAGTATATTATATTTATACTTATTAAAAACTAATTAGATAAGTATTATTTAAATTCTTTATAGGATTAAGAAATAGATAAGCTTTAAATTATATTATAAATATAAGATCTAGGGCCTAGAAAATATAGTTAGACTATCTCTATTTTAATAATTCAAATCTAAAAAGAGAAAAGAATCCCGAAAAAGCCTCGGATCTAAATAATTACAAGCTATATACGGGCCTATATACTAGCTTAAGCTTAGAGTTATATATAATAATCAGGTAATTATAAATGCCTTATTTAGATACCAGATACCTCTCTAGCTCTAGTCTAACTCCTACTAGTACTATATATTATAATAACTATAATACTAATCTCTAAATAAATATTAAGAAATTAGAGTTTAAGATTATTTATATAAAATATTTAGGCTTTATTATTTTTATTAGAAATATTAAAATAAATCTAGATAAGATAATAGTTATTAAAAACTAGTAATTACTAAAAATAATTAAAAGAATATAAGGCTTTCTGGGTTTTTATAACTTTTATTAATATTTTATTATAGAATATAATTATATAATAAAGCCTTTAATAATTCTAATATATAAGAAAGTTTTATTTAAATAAATAGATTAGTATTAAGAAGGTTTTACTAAACTAAAATAAGCTATATTTTTAGTACTAATTCTATATTATTATAACCTAAATCTTTTTATTATAATTAAGACAAATATATTAAATAGAATTATAGCCGGTATTTTCTTATAATAAGATCCCTAAATAGGACTCTAGTATCCGGTAGTATTCTTTTCTAAGACTATATAATTAGTAAAGCTAAATTATAATATCTATAATAAAGAAATATTTACTATTATTTTCTTTTTAATTAAATAATAAGTAGAGCTAGAAGGTTTATAGGAGGTACTCTTTATAATTTACTTAGATTACTAAGCTTTTAAGTATTTTATAACTATAAAGAAGCTTTTAGTAAAATAAGCTTACTAAGTAAAATACTTTTCTTATTATTATTTTAAGCTTATATATTAGGTAAGTAAGTTAAATAAATAAGTAAATATTCTAAATAGGAAATATAAGAATATAATTATCTAGAATAAGATAATAGTAGCCTACTAAACTCAAATTCTCCTCTTATAATAAAAGATTAATAATAATATTATATAGGATTTCTAGTAGCCCTAATTAAGGCCTTTATAAGTCTAGCTTAAGAAGAAATCTAGTATAATAATATCTAGCTAATAAATAAGCTATTAAGTTAGAACCGAGAATTACTAGAGCTAGAAAAGCTATAAAATAAGGCAAGAAATAAGAGAAAAAATACTTAAATACTATAAGATAGCCTTTTTTTATAATATAGTAAACTATTTATATCTAATAATATAATAATACTCGAGATATCTTTATATACTATTCTTATTTAGGAAATATATATATAGCCCTTAATAGGATACCTAGGATAAACCAAGCTTTAATAGCTTCTTTAGGCCCGCTATTACTAGCTAGGCTAAGATATAGATATTAATTAGTATAGGAATAATTACTATATCTATTAATAATTCTATATTCCCAGAAATAAAAAGCCAGAACTCTTATATCTATTACTAGTTCCTAATTATTTCTAGTAATATATATTAATAGATTTCAAGAAATACCCAGAAAATAGAAATAAGTATAATATAGTAATAATCTTTATTAATTATCTAAATAAGTACTCTATTATAATTTTTATCCGAGATATAATAATAGCTAAAGAATTAGTATTCTTATTTCTTATCTATATAGTTTACTAAGTTAATATCCCGGAAACTATAATATCTAATTAAGGCCCCTAGTTTATATTAGATTTCTAAAATGAGTTCTATAAGTATATTAGTATAAAGCTCAAGTTATTAACTACTAATTATCTCTAAACTAATAGCTAGATAAAGATTATTAACTAGTATTTTAACTAATAGCTATATTTCTATATAAATTATTACTAGAATAATTAGAATAAATAGGTAATAATAATTAATTACTAGTAGGTAGCTCTAGTCTATAAAACTATAAGCCAATTCCCGTTTCTTATAGAAAAGGGCTATAAATTATAGATATTATTTAACTAGGAAACCTAAATATAATTAGGTATTCCAAAAGAAAAGCTAAATAGATAAGAGGTAAAAGCCCTAGTAATATGGCTCTATAAATTATAATAAAAGATATAGAAGAATATAATATAAATATAAGAATATTATATTATTTAAGCTAATAAGTACTACTAATTAGTAGATTTCGGAATAAGAAACAAGATATAAATTACTACTAAATACTAGAAAAATAATTATCCGAGCCATAAGCTAGCTTACTAAATAAAAGGGCCATATAAAATCCTGGAATAAGTAGAATATTTCTTTAGGCTCAAGCTTCCGGAATTAATAAGAATATATCTAGTATTTTATATAAAGAAGCTATATAAAGACTCAGGTAATCCCTTTCCCGGATAAGTAAATCCGGAGCCTCTACTATTAGAACTATAAAACGGGGAAACGGAGTATAAAGTTTAAGAAGTACTAGTAGTAAAACTACTTTATAGAAAACTAAAGTACCGAGTCTAGTAAAAAGGATAGGACCTAGATCTAGAGTAATATTCTGCTTCCTTATTAAGTAATAATACCCTAGCTCTTTAGAGCTTCTATAACAAGAACCCCAAATAGCCAGAACTACTATAGAATCTCCCCTATTAGTTAGACTATACTAAGAATAATATACTACCGGAACCGTATAACACAGACGGAAATCCTTTAAAGTCACGTGCAAAAGGCTCTGGCCTTTAATATATAACCTGCGACTTGGAAATTCAAATAGGGACTTTCGAAGCTCGGGGACGAGCTTACTTCGAGGGGGGGGGTAATGTTACGGTTATTACGATATACGGTACTAGTAGGGGTTAGACTAGAGCTAGCAAGGCATCTGGCATCTGAGCGAGGCATCCGTAGTCACCTGATCGTTGCACGTGACCCCGAGCTTAAGCTAGCACATGGGCCCGTATATAGCTTGCAATTATTTAGATCCGAGGCTCCTTCGAGATCCTCTTCTCTCTTTAGCTTTGAATCGTCGAAATAGAGACAGTCTAACCATGCCTTCCAGGCCCTAGATCTTGTACTCGTGACAATTATTACTAATATAAGGTATTTATTTTTATTACCCGCCAGCTTTGGTCTAGTAAAACGGGTCATTAAGCGGGCGCCGCGGATACGTGAAGATTTTGCTAATGCCCTTAAGCGGGCAGCCGAGGGGGCATGAGAAAGGGTCTCGAGAGACTAAATCTTCATCGTATTCTTTCGAGCAGGCACGCGTGTAACTTGGCAGACTAAGAATGGCCTTTGTTCAAACAGAGCGCGGTCTGTAGATAATTGAGAAATTTTCCTCAATAGAATAATGTGCTATAAAGGAAGAACGGCTTACTATTTTATTGCAATGTTATTATGAGACTTTCAAAGATCTCTCCGGCCTCCCTAACAGCCGTTTTCGCCGTGATGAGAGGAGCACGCTCAATGAGATCGTGCTCGAGTCTCTCAGTTTTCTTTTCGAGAACAACCAAGTTTTTCTCCCCAGTTCTTCAAACCTCTGCACTGCTCGTACTGGCCTGCCACTTGGAAGGTGTTTGAAGCCGAGTTTTTCTGGGATCCTGTCAACGGAAAATAGAATCTTTTTATCGTCTTCCATGTTCCTAGCAGCGCTCATCTTTTCGATGTCATAGGCCGGGGCTTGATAAGACATGTTCCTCTTGTTAGGCAATTGATGAGAAACGTCTTTGATATTTACGATCTTTATATTCAGAAGAATCTGGGAAAGCACGAACTTTGCAAGAAATCGCAAGAATGCTGTGTGTCATCAGCTGAAGTGGAATCATGTTGTCTTGCGGGTGGCATATGCACAAGCACATGCACACGCCCTCAACCCTTCAACCAATCAAGGCCCAAATAAAAAGGTTGTGTAAAATGGAATACGGAACACAGGAAGGAAATAACATCGAATGAAATCATAGGAAATGTAATGAATATCAAAATCCCCTCGGGCCTCTCCCTCCCTCTCTTTCTCGCCCGTCTACCTTCCCCATACTCCCGGTATCGCGAAGTGCAATCTAGCACACCCCCGCCGGAATGGTATAACCCTCCTTTCGGTTCGTCCCCGAGTTCCTCTTAGCATTAGCCCCCGACCCTCTCTTCGCAAACGCCGTCCACAGCGCACACTTATTGACACCTCCAGTGAGCGCCGTATCAGCATCGATAATTGCATCTGTAGCTTGCGGCGTCGTTGGGTTGCATGGTTGTCTATTACTGTTAGTCAAATCCCTTCTACTCGGCGAAGGGGGAGGGAGGAGAAACTGACAAAGCCATCCCATCAACCACCAACTTCATCGCCAAGAATCTTCCGTCGGTGGGGATCTTGCCACTAAAGACAGGTTTGCGCGTTGCTGTAATTCCATGGATATCTACCAAATTCCAAAGCACCTCATATAGTATCGTCGCCCAGAGCGTGTCAATAGCATACACTTCATTCAAACTATTGGTGCCCGCATACGTCAATGGATTCGTACTCAAGCTCGTGCTGTACAAATAATTTCGAATCCCCGCTGCATTGTTATAGATCCAATCGCCCAGCGGATAGGCCCTGTTTCGCGTGTCAGAAGTTTTGACGTGGATAGCGATAGCCACGAAGTCTCCCCAGCCTTCGCCCATTCCTCCTGCTTCGAGGACATTGAGGCACGCGACGTTAGCAGGGCCGCCGGTGAGGCGGTTGGAGAGACCGTGGGTATATTCGTGGATTATGACACCGGCGTCGAAGGCGCAGTCGCGGTGCGGGGTAGAGTAGTCCCAGATGAACATCCGCATTCTGGGTTGGGATCCGTCTGCTGGGATTGCAAAATCTGCGTTGTCGGTTCCAGCAGCATCTTGAGAGTTCAGGATCACAGCGTCGTTGCCCTTTCCGCCTTTACCGTTGTTATTTGTTTCGAAATTTCCTGCAGCTTCGGTGAAGCCGAGGTTGTAGAGGAGGTCATGGTATAGGTTTGCCGTGTACCAGAGTTGTGTTACTGAAGCGTTGGCGTAGGTCTTGGGGTTAGGGTTGGTGAGATCCAGGCCGAAGGCGAAGTTGCCTCCTGTGGAGCTGGGACGGTAGTCGCTCAGATAGGAGGAGTCTCCTTCCCAGTTTGCTTGGGCGAACCCGTTGTTTCCTTCAGTGGCAGTGTAACTGGTCGTCCCATCGCTTTCCCAGGTGAAGGGAGACGGTCCGCTTTCTTGGGGATTTGTTTCGATTGAGCGGGAGCCTTTGCTGGGGTCGTTTACTTCCCAGGGGCTGGAGTGCTGCTGTTAGACAGGGTTGTGAACGGAAGTGAAGGAACTTACAACACCGTGTATGATGCATCGGAGACATAATGTATAACGCCAAGAATATTGCTACCCGATTTGGCATCGATATACGTTTGAAGCCAGTTGTCAACAATGTCGGTCTCAACCCTTCATGAGAGGGAGAGTGTGTTATCGGCGGCCTGGAAGTATACCAGATGTGCTTTTGGGTCTGAATGTGCGCCCGAAGAGCCTTTCAGCACATAGTGTTCAATATCTGATGCTGGAACCGCAGTTGCAGCATCGGCGGAGATTGGCAAGACAAGAGTGCTCGACACCTTCTTGAGTGCAGTGACAGCATCAATATGAACGGCCTTCATCAAAGGGTTCTCGGTGGGAATAACTCCTGTAAAGAAGGAGTTCCCGTACGAGAAAACCGATCCATCTGCAGCGATCTACCTTTTCATCAATCCCAAGTTCGGGAAAATCGGAGGGAAACTTACATTGACATTAAAGTCGGCATTGTCAATATCTAGACCATGAACTGTCTGCTTGAAATTAGCATGAGCAATGCGATTCACGCCAACGTAATGGTCATCAACCAAGCGGAATTCTGCCCCAGGGATGACTTTTTGAACAAGTGCCGTAGCGGTACCAATATAGCCATCTCTTTTCGCGAGAGATGTTAGGCCGGAGGCGTCCGTGATTGATGCATTACTATATGAAGGGATGGTGTTTAATCGGAATGCTCCGAGATCAATGACTCGGCGGTGAAGAGCCCGACGGGACGTAGAGGTCGATTTTGGGTGACCTAGGACATAAGTTGACAGCAAGGCTGTAACACCAATTTGGGCGAGAAAACGCATGATGAGCGAGGAGGCAGGTTTGTGATAAGAGGCAGTTGGGTTTGAGAGTCGAACTGAGAAATAAGAAGGTATTTACCCATTTTTATATTAATTGACCATTATGACAGCTGCACATCAGCTCTCATTTCCTCCAGTTATCTTGCTGCCAAGCCCAGCGAAGGTCATCCTCATGAGTTGTTTTCCTGCTAAGCCAGGTGAAGCTTGTAGATCGCTTACCTGCTGCTTCATCTAGGTAGTTCGACCGGTGAATATATGTGAACCAAGGTATCTGTATCAACTTCAGTGTTGAAATGGGAAGGTCTTGGGAATGCTCTAGCGCTTCAGCGCTTGAGGGGCGAATCATTTGGGGCCAGCATCACGACTTCATTGACGGAATTCGACGATTGAAGGCCAAAAAGTGGCATCTCGGGGAGATCTGTCGTGAATGGAAGCTTGAATGCCGGCGCGATCCGGCAGCTGCCCACTTAGGCAACCCTCAGACCGTAGCGTGTCATGCACAGCATGCTTTTGCTCCGGAATTGCAGTATGACCAAAATAATGGTCCAGATAGTATGCATCCATCAGCCGAATGCCCCATGTTATGTTAACATTGACAAATGGCGATAAGCCATGCGCCAAGGTTGAACCACCGCTACGCCTACCTGATTGGGCGGTTTGGAGCAAAGACAGCTACGGGTAAGGCACGGAGCACCCGTAGCTTGAGTGAGACAAAGACAAAGTACTAGAATTGAAAACCAAATCATCTGATACTCGAGGGGCGGCGCAGTCGTATTTTTTGTTCACTCGAACGATGTGGTTGTTGCTTGAAGGGAGTGGGAATGTCGTTTAGAAAAGGTTAAGGAGGAATGAAGACAGCCGAAGCCGCTATGACCGCTTCCTGCACGTCTTGGCGGGGAAGGGATGGGGGTCTCGTACTGCACCGCCATGGGTCAGCGTTGAGCAGGCCCACAAAAGTTGCAAGGTTGTGAAGGAGGACCTGACCTCTAAGAGTCTCGGATCGTAAGGGGCTTTTGAATTGCCAGCCAGAACTACGGAGTAGGTACTGCTCTCCTCCAGCAGGGGTTCACCACCCGGTGCAAAGGCATGCGGGATTAGTCAGCTCATCCCCTTACGAGGACGGTACATACTCCCCCTAAATAAATGTAACAGTGGGTCCAAGTGCAGGGGTTTTTTGGTATGGCAACTGGACCGTGCCAGGCTGGTTTTGCGGGGACCCACTGTTACATTTAATTAGGGGGGGGGGAGAGTAAGAAACCGGTCCCGTAAGGGAGTGAGCTGACCAATCCCGCATGCCTGTGTAACGAAGCTTCGCTAGCTATTTTCAGCCAAGCCTAATTGACACGTGGCGGTCGGATGGTTCATTCGCCGTATCCAGGACGTTGCCTTAAGATGGATACAACCACATACACAACCACATACACAACCACATACACAACCACTTTGACATACACAATCAACCAATCTCAATCCATCGATCTATCGTTATTCTCTTGCTATTTAGCGCCTTCAAAGCGCGACACCCAAACAACCGTTAGTGCAACATTGTGAGGGGGAAAATTCGCTTAAGCCTCAGGCACACATTTCGCTTAATTATAGCGCTAAGGAGTATTTAGCCTCGCTCCCGAGCTTCTACGAGCTTCATGCTTCTCTTCTAGAATTTATCGTAATTCTAGAAATCTCTTGTGTTCCTATGTAACGTGAATTCAACCCGGTAATTCGTCAACCTGGTACACGGTTCACTTCTGCCTATTTCTTCTGTGGATCTTCAACATCATCCGAAAGTCACCTGATCCAGGGATTGTCCATAATCGATATCAACGCGGTCCCTCATATATCGCATCCTCGAAATCGTGAACCTCTTAAACAACATGCGCTTCCTGAATACTACTAGCATTCAATTTGAAGAAGTCGCTGACTCGGAGCTTTCCCAAGCTGAGAACCGATACGCCATTCTCTCACATGGGTGGGGACGTGCCGAAGATGAGATCTCGTATGAGGACATGATCTCGTCCACAGATCTCTCTCGGAGGAAAGGCTTTGCCAAAATTAAAGAGTTCTGCAGCTTAGCCTCACTGTTGGGTTATCGCTATGGCTGGGTCGACACATGCTGTATCAACAAAGCCAATTCGAGCGAGTTGGCGGAGGCTATCAATAGTATGTATATGTGGTATGGGTTTAGTACTTTATGCATTGTGTATCTTGAAGACGTTCCTAGAAATCGGTTCGAGGATAGCGAGTGGTTCGATCGTGGGTGGACTCTGCAGGAGTTGATTGCTCCTAAGGCCGTTTCCTTTTTCGACCAGCACTGGGAACCCCTCGGAACAAAGCTAGAATTGCTTGAAAGTCTATCGCAGAAAACCGGAGTACCTAGTGATGTTCTAGGTAACATTGCTGATCCTTCCACCTGCTCGGTCGCTCAACGAATGTCGTGGGCAGCGCAGAGAGTCACCAGTAGAATAGAAGACAGAGCCTATAATCTTCTCGGGCTTTTTGATATCAACATGCCGACGATTTACGGCGAAAGGGAGAAGGCCTTTCTGCGCCTGCAGCAACATATTGTCCAAAAGAGTAAAGACGAGTCTCTCTTTGCATGGGCCTTGAATACCTCCAGTGACGCCCCGAGAGCGTACTTCAGCGTATTCGCCTCAACTCCCTCTGCCTTCAGAGATTGTAGCAACATAGTTCAAACCCCAGGTTCTGCATGCTTCTCAGAGAACAACGGAGAGCTGTCTATCAGCTTACGCATCCGCCAGTACAGTCCAGGAATATTTAGGGTTTTGCTTCATTGCACCAGAAAAGCCAATCCAGACAGCAAATTCTTCATCACAATCTCCCAAACATTTGGGGACGAGACTTTCGTTCGTGTCCGAGATCTGGAAAACATTGGTGAAGGGTTGACCAATATATTATCGGGTCGCGAGGTGATAATTCGATTTCCGGTCGATCCGAAGACACCGCCTGTAACTACATTCTTCGGGTTCTGGCTTCGTACACTTCAACCTCCTGGCTACGACGAAAGTGAAATCACTATTATCTCCACCAGCACAGCTCCTGAACCTGATTATATCCAACAGATTAACCAAGACCAGGGTGATACAGGATTTGTTTCCTTGAAGCCGACGAATAACTCAGAACTTTTCAAATGGTCAAAGATCAGCCGGATCACATTCCGATTTGACAATCACTTTAATCCAGAGCTCTGGCTCGAAAATTATACCCACTCAGACAGACATCAGACACCTTATGAGGAGGCGCTCACGCGTCGGCAGCCTGGTTTCCAAGCTCAGGACAATAATGAAGCCATCACGAGCGACATTCCCTCAGATCGCAATAGTGAAGAAGAACCCTCTTTCTTCGAAGCTCGAGATGTCTGGTACGATTGGCCCCACGGACGAGCTCTTGTGCCAGTTGCAAGCACAATGGGGCTTCGCGAATTCATTATACCAAACCTAAGACTACAAATTTCAGTTCAGTTACAACCTTGCTGCAGTCCAGCCATAGCCGCCCCTCAAAGTATAGATGGCAGGGGCCGACCGTTTAACTCAATGTTAACGTGGGTAGTGGACATCACGTCAACGGAAGCAAGACCTGAATCCCCGATCTCAGTAATGCGTACTGATTGGCTCAATCGGGTTTGCAATCTCATATATTGCCCATGTCTACTACTATGTGCACAAGAAGAGGATTGCGGCTGCTGTTTCTGCCGTTGCTGTACTTTCGAGGAGCAATCTTATAGTGGGTGGTCTGCGCTGGATCCCGCTCTCACATGCTACGACTGCTTGTACCCATGCTGCAAGGAGAAGTGGCTGAAGAATAAAGAGGAAATTGCTAGGTTAAATTATGAGTGGGGCGCCGCGTCCCATATTCCGGTTTTAAAACCTGGTGGCGGCACTGAGTACACTAAACCCACCATGAGGCCGATGTACAGATGCACAGAACATTGCTGCGGTATGTAGAGGATCAAGCACAAAAGCAGGAGGGGCGGATATGTAAACATCATTCCAGGTTGGTAGCCTTCGGGCTGGCGCTAAGAACGAGAAGGCGCGCGAGCGATTGGGACTCTGGTTTTGTCAAGTGACCGTAGCCTAAAGCCTGCATTAGGACCTATCGACCAACATGTTTAGATTCGCAAGCTTCCGACCTTCAAGCGGGTTTGGATTTAGCCTGCCTAAGGGTCTGGCAGGGAAGGTTTCAATTCACTGTGTGTAAAGGGATTATGCTCAGAAGTGTGGGTAGATCTTTCATTGGTTCAAGAATATTCTGTGGCTGGCTATCTTGTGTGCTCCTTCTCTCTTTTATACGGGCGTAGCGCGTGCATGGACCCTATGTTGTGGTTATCACCGGGTATCTCATGTGAATGCCACGTAATACATACATAAATAAGAACCGTTATTTGGTTATATTCAATTTCCCTCTCTCTATTTGATATACTTTAAGCTGCTGGTCAGAGTGGACAGACGCCAACAGGGGACAGACCAGGCTTGGCAGAAATACCTAATTTCAGGTACTGATACGTATTAATGCCAGAATCGTAAGCTATTAATACTATCGATAAAGTATCGATTCTTTAAACCTAATTTCACCCTTTAATCGGGAAAATGTAAAACGACTCCCCCCCTTCCGGGTGTTAATTAGGGCAGGGTATTAACAAACTTGTAATTGGTTACCTAAGCTCTTTAAAAATCTTAAGTCATATTTTTGCTATAAGTATAAGCTAGCATATTACGACTCTAGTATTATAATCACGTGCTTCCTAACTTATAGTAAAAAGATTCCTTAAACTAAAAATTTAATTTGGTAAAGCCAATGCAGTAATCGGAATACGGAAATTGCGAGCCATAATATATTTTAGTAAAGTCGAATGGACTTAATAACGTGTAGGCTAGTTGAGACCAGTGTGTCAAAAAATAATCAAGGCTAATTAATTAGAATTAATTAGAATTAATTATAATTAAGTATGATTTGATTAGCTTGATTTTTATTATAATTAATTATAATTAATTATAATCATCACGTGATAATACAAAAATATACTTTCTTAGGAATTTCTAAAGATTATTAAATAACTAATAGCTATATTAATAAAATATAAATAAAATCTATAAAGCATATATATGAGTATAAAATTAGTCTAAATCTAAAATAACAAACCAGTTTTTGTTATGTGGTACTAGTCACGTGGTGCTATTGCACGTGACTTAGCATGTGGCCAGTGCTTCCTTAGCCTGGCAGATAGCCTTTAGCTCAATTCAAGCTCTTTACTACTACTGTAACACCGGAAATCAAGGAGGTTCTAGCGCCTTTGGCTTCGCTTACTAATTAGCGCTAGGCCTGGTTTAGTAAAGAGCGCCTTTAGCAATACCGAATACGGCTAGCCCAGACCTTATTTTGGCCTTATCTCGGCTTCCGAAGCTCCAGAGTCATGTGCGCAATCACGTGATAAATCTAATTAATTATCTTTGATTATCTTTGATTATAATTAAGTATGATTTGATTAGCTTGATTTTGACTTGATTTGATTTGAGTAGGGGGGTCTAATCAAATCAAACCTAATCATTTGACACACTGGTTGAGACTTGCTTGTTGAGACGGCAAAAGCTAGCTATTGGGAGGTAATATCGATAATTAATGAGTCGATTATATAGGAGTTAATATGGCAGCTTGAGTAAGTGCTCTCTCACTCGAGAAACTTAAAGTGTGCCATTATTATACTTAAGTGCAGTGTGTCAAATAATTAGATTTGATTTAATTAGACCCCCTTACTCAAATCAAATCAAGTCAAAATCAAGCTAATTAAATCATACTTAATTATAATTAATTAGCTTTGATTATTTTTTGACACACTGCTCGAGGAGGAATCTCACTATTTCCCGCTAATTCCGATCCACCGCCCTATAGAGCGGTGTTGCCTGGCCATCAGGATTGAAATCGATATTAGCACCATGTTCTACTAGTACGCTGGCAGCTCGAATGCTATCTGTTTCACTGACACGAACCAGGAGCTGTCCGCCAGAGTCTCTCGATAAGCATTGTGGATCGACTCGTGAAAGCAAGAGATCCACGAAGCCGATGTCTGTAATCTGGATTGCTTCTTGGATAACAGGCCGGAAATCTACTCTGGACAGAAGCAGAGATCGGAGCAAGTCCGTCTTTTTCATTGAGAGGGTAGCTTCGAGAATTCGCCGGGAGAAAGTGCTTGTGGTCGCGGAATCGATACTGGGGAAAGTTTGAAGTTGAGGTATATGATTTTGATCAATGACCCACTCGAGAAAGTCCTTGATTCTGTCTTTACTCGGCTTCTTGTTGGATACAAAGTAGGCCACCAACTCGAAGAGACGTTGGAGCGGATTCTTGTCTAACGGATCGAAGAACTATTGAACTCTCATTTCCAGTTCGCCCGTGAACCATTCCGGCAGTTGTTTCGAAATAAAGGAAGTAAAACCAGGGACTAAGTCCAATACTGAGTCGTTTGTATTGTAGCCCAGAAGTGTGCCCAGGAGGCGGTGCCTCTCGGGAACGGCTAGGGCTATAACAGCTCCACGTTCACTTGGAGAATTGGACTTCGAAGAGCTGGAAAACTCCCCGAGCCGAGGACTGAAAACCCTAGGGTTGCTTATTCTTGAACCCTGCTCTATGAATTTGTGTTAGAAGTGCTAGGCACATTTGGGGTAGCTTCATGACTACCAACCTTAAAGTTCAAGTTTTTGTTGAAATTCGAACCAGAGCAGGTCAATAGTTGTCACCCAATCATAGTTCCCCTCAAAATCGAATCCGTTCAAGTCGAGAAACGTTGTAGATGGCGAAATTGCCATGTTGGCTGAGACATGAAAGGCCATCTCCTCAATCATATTGCGGCCTATTCCCTCACCGTTGCGAGTATATCCTACCAGAGATGACGCTTCGTGAGCAGAAGGGCTAGCCAAATTCGCCGTCCATACCCGGGGTAATATCCCCTTCAAAATCGAGATTGAAGAGGCTATCATAACTCGTAGAAGTGCTACTTAATGATGCAGGTTAGCAGAGGCTTGATAGATACAAGATAAAAGTCTAAACTCTTACTCAATCGAACGTTTCCGCTGGGGAAAGCCAAAGGTGAAGGAGAGCAGCGTATTGGAGTCCGAATAAAGATCCTGTCCCTAGTGCTGCGACCAATCACCACTGAGGCATATTAATCAGCTAATGCCGTTCAATATCAATAGGTTGTTTGCACTTGACCGTGTCGTACCTCTCCTAGAAGCGTCTGTCTGGGCATCATTTCCGCGTCGTCGGACTTCTCTTTTGACTCTCTCTCTGTCAATAGCCCTCCCGTGGAAACAAACTTCACTGTCGATTCTACGCATGGCACGGTTTCGAACCTCCTCCACTACCGCAATTCATTTGTGTGCTTTCAGATTCTTGTATCCACTGAATCGCCTCTTAAATTGGCGAATGCTGTACACCAATTATATTAGCGGAACGAAAGCTCTGTCTCTAAGCACTAACACACTTACCTGGCGTTCAACCCGTGGTTGCTCTTCGTATGAGCCATGGTCTCCTCTAGGATATGGTTTTGGTCCACATAACGGGACAGAATCTCAGCCTTATAAGGCTCCCAGGTAATACTAGTATCAAAGTCTTGCGACATTGTGAGAATTCGGGAATAACCTTTGAAGTAGTGCTTTCAATAGTTCTGAGAGTACTATTACCCAAGTTTGCTAATCGAATAGTAATTAATAATAGCAAGCAAGAGACTGATTTCGGATAGAATACTTTACAAAAAGAGTTATATATAAGAGAGGTTAAGAATAAGACATATATATACGGAAAGTAATAAGAATTAGAAGATCAAGCGATTTTCGAATTCGGTTTTCGACTTTTAATATCCGACTCATAATATATACTCATTTTATTAAAAATTACTTATATATTATATTTCTTTTTTCTATATCTTTATTTATTATTATTATTTAAAATATTACTTTTTCTTTAATTATTATTTATATATATATATAAAAGAAAAGTAAAAGATAAAAAATAAATGGAGATAGAAATAAGAGTAAAAAAGAAAAGAAAAAATAAAGGGCAAATAAAAAGTAAAAAGTGTAACGGCAGGAACAGAGTAATAGAGCGAGGCTTAAAGATTAAAGATTTCCTATGTCTTGAGAATTTAAAGCTAAAGAGGAGGAGTGAGGTGTGGCAGTGGATAAATAGGTATAGCCAAGACCACTGAAACGCCGAGCTTTGGAAGCGAGCTTGGTTTGAACCATAGCTTGGAACCTTAGCTGAAACCAACCCCTTTGGCTAAAACTAACCATGTAATACCAGCCGTTACAAAAAGTAAAAAGTAAAAAGCAAAAATTAAAAAGCAAGTTTTAAGATATGTAATTTATAAAAAAATTATCTTATAATTATAAATTATTTATTATTAAATTTTAGAACTATAATTACTAAATTATAAATTATAAATATTGAAAATTTAATATTTTATAATATAAATTTTTAATAAGTTTTTTTTATTTTCTTATTTTCATTTTTATATTTATAAAAAAAAATAAGAAAAATTAAAAAAAGAAATTATTTAAAATAATAATGAAAATATAAAGAAAAAAATATAATATAAGCTAAATTTATTTAAATAAATAATTTTCAAATTTAGTTTTTAATTTTTAATTTTTAATTTATAATATATATATTATATTATAATAATAATATATAGATAGATATAGAGGAAAGAGAGGTGTGGTACGAGTGGCCAAAGCTTAAATAAAGGAGTGTAGTCACGTGGGCCTGCACGTGACTACTAGTACGCAGTTGCCATATAATAATATCTTTATTATTATTTTAAATATTTATAGCCTATAATTTAGTAATTATAGCCCTAAAATTTAATAATAAATAGCTTATAATTATCGGGCTTTCTTTTTCTTGCAAGTTATATATCTTAAAGCTTGCTTTTTAATTTCTGCTTTTTGCTTTTTGCTTTTTGCTTTTTGCTTTTTGCTTTTTGCTTTTTGCTTTTTATTTTTCACTTTTTACTTTTTACTTTTTACTTGCCCTCTATCTTCTTCTCCCTCCTATATCCCTATCTCTATTCCTATTTACTCCTTGCCTCTTACCCCTCTCTTGTATATATATAAATAAGAATTAAAGAGAGAGTAATATTTTAAGTAATAATAATAAATAGAGGTATAGAAAAAGAGGGCATAATATATAGGCGATTTTTAATAGGGTGCATATGTGCCACAAGTCGGATATCAAAAGTCGAAAACCGGATTCAAAAATCACTTGGTCTTCTGATCCTTATCGCTTTCCGTAGTAATCCTTAAGGTTACGGCTTTCCGTACTCCACGCACTGACGGCCAGGCTAATCAGCACAAGAATAACCTCATTAACCCTTACGATCATAGCTCCCTAGCGGGGAAGCAAGAACTCAGTCAAGCAGTTTGTTGACGTCCAATACCCCGCTCCACAGGGCTGACACATGCTGCTGAACCATGATCTTGCGAAAGCTATGCAACAAAGGCCACTTCATCATCAATATCAGATGGTTCAAGACCCGCAGACTCTTTCTAGCGGACCGGACCCCTCCTTGCCCCACCTCGATCCTCCCCCGCCTGCCCATGACACGCGCTGAAAACTCTTCGAAAATCAACGGTTGAACGATCCCTTCCATCAAATCAAAGAGCATCATGTCAGCATCATCACCACTGAGCAAAGGGGCTTTAAGGTGATGGTGACGTGGCTTCTGTGCTATCCAATTGTTTTTCAGCTGCTGTCTGTTCTTGGCAGCCACACAATAATTCCAAAACACACGCTTATCAAGAAACAAAATTTCTTACTTATCTCGCCCAAGAGGAGTCCGTAGATTTTCAAGGGCCGATGCACTTCATCGACAGATCAAGGAAATGGGAACTATTTCGGAATCAGCTGAATTCCTCGCAGCAGCCACGTAATAGTTCCAAACCTCACGCCAATCAAAAAAGAAATTTCTCACTTATCCTATCCAAGAGGAATTAACAGATTTTCAAGGGCCGATGCACTTCATCGACAGATCTAGGAAATGGGAATCATTTTGGAATCAGCTGAATTCCTCGCAGCACTGCAGCAGCCACAACAGGGGTAACCTTGGTGTCTACACGTGATTCTTAACTTAGCATAAGATAGAAATCTAAATCCAAGAAACATACGAAGTACCAAAGTACAACTTGTGTCACGAGTTACGCATACGTAATCAGACGCCTTCCGGAGTTAATGATGGGCCCACGTTTGGAGTCATCCAGCTTCCACCCTGATGCAGAGTGAATAATAGCTCCAAAAGACTCTTTCCACGTTCCACTTGATGCCTTGTTGTGAGAAGGCTCTATGGGCGTCGGCTCAAGTTGGTCCAGTATCCGTTCAGCTGCTGCCAGGTGCGCTTTTCCATGATGAAATGTACCGCAAAATTATAGCGAATCAGAGGATTTAAAATAAGGAATTCGACAATATGATTTGTTGATCAAGTTCGCTTAGAGGTGCACAGGCCAAGGCGCACCTGGCAGCAGCTGAACGGATAGCTCCGGCTCCTGTGTCTGCTGTTCCACCTATATCGGGTATAGAGGCAACCTGCGGATAAATTATGAAGGTGGGGGCGATGCGCTGTTAAAATGTGGCTGCCCATAAAAAGCCGAGCTGAAGATGAATCATGAAGAAGGTGGGGGTGATGCGCTGTTAAAATTTATGTTTACTAATGCATGATCTCAACACGGTGGGGCGCCCTGTTACGTCAATAAGCTTTCTATGATGGTATAGTAAGAGTCGTGCAAGTGATTAAAAGAGCTAAGCCAATGAGAAGCTTTTTGCAAATCTATTACAGATTGCGAGAGACTAAGTAAATTTAACAAAGCTTTCAATTTAAAGTGCATTTGGGAGGATCGTCGATGGACCTATTGCCACGCCAGCCACAACGCTTCATAGCGACGCCACTTTTCCCAAGGCGTCCACAAGAGGTTAATTGAGGGGGCACGGCAGTCACCGCAATGTAGGAGGTCCGTCTGTCCAAGGATCTTCGTTGTCCCGCAGAGCGAGAGATCAGGCCATATAGAATGGCTGAGTCCAAGCCTATTGAATTATCATCACAACGAATAGGAGAGAAGCCGTCGGTTTATTGGATGTAACCACTAGGTGTACGAAGATAAATGACCCCTCCATTTCGTAGAAAATAGACGGGGACATATAAATGCCAGCACAGGCACCACTTGAATCTCAACTCAGACATAAGTCTAGGAAGCTTTCAACCACTTATTTCTGATAAATATTTGCGACCTTCCTGTTAGGATTACCTTGTTATACGATCAGGACTCTGAACACTGGAATTTGCTAGATGCAAGATGAGTTCCCAAGTATGAGCATTTTATATTATAATTCTCCTTATTTTGTATTTCTACTACTAATTATGTCTTCTTAATTATTATGTCTATGTTTCTCAAAGCCAAACTGATATATTTTACCAAATATTAAACTAACCCATTCTCTAATATAATAGATAATGGCCCTGAGAATAATGATGAACCCGATAGAGGTTTTCATACCCTATCGCCAGATGAGGCGTCGCATGTATGCGTTACTTCATTCACCAGACACAGAGGACAATGTTGCAACACCGCGAAAGGACGAGGAGAGTGGTAAGGGCGGGGGCGAGGTTTCTACAAGAGAAGTAGTGGGCAAGGACAAGTGGAAGAAGGCTTTAACAGAGTGGAAGAAAGGAGAACTAGACAAATTATCTTCTGTTGCCATCGTTGTGCGTCTCTAGTTTCATCGACTAAACTCTCTATTGTTTTTCAACTTATACCCCTCTCTCTATTTTTCCTGCTAGAGCTAAATGAGATATTGTATATAGCCTATACTGACGCCTATATAGGCTGCCCTCGTCGCCTCTGTCATCGCCTCAATCCTAGCAGGGTCTGCTATTCTCTCTTGGCCTGTCCGCGCTCTGTGGCTCTCGGCTCTGTTTTTTGATCTTGCTTCTCTCTTTACTGCTGTACAAGAGACAATGATGCTTACGGCAATTTCCTACGATCCAGATGCTGTCGCACGTCTCCGGCATTCACTTTGCCACCCCTTGTCACATATGCCAAACGATTGGCCCGATGCCCAGGAGCGATTCGTGCCACACATGTTAGCAGTATGTTTTTGGAATATCGCGGCTATACTGTTAACAGCCGCGATTTCACTATTTGTAATCGGGTTGAATATATGGATTTTTCAGGCAGCGGTAAGGGGGGGAGATGATAAGAAGGTATGGAATTCCGTCTCTTAGCTTTCTTGGTGCTTTGTTCTACTTTGATTTATTTTATCTACTCTATATAAGTATGCGTGTGGATATATGAGCTGACAAGGCGCTATGGCGGGATGGGTATAGATCGCAGTGTTTTTTGGAGTTATGGCAACGTTTGTGGTAGCAATTTATTTGATGTGCTATGTGGTTAGGTTTGCGGCTTTTGGGCCACGACCCCCAAGAGCAATAGACGAACTGAAATGTTGATCGGGCTTGGAGTTCAGGGCAACGTTCGTTGACGGTTTGTTGTAGCAGTTTGAGGATTAATGATACTTTTTAGCACGAATAATGAATCACGATGTTCGAGTTCTTAACCCTTCTCACCTGTTATAATGGTCAACTACCGAAAACGACAGTGTTTGGTGCTATTTTTAGGAGCCCGTTAACCAGTTTTTTTCATTATCCCGCACCCATCGGATCCATGCTCTGACTTGGCCGCTCGATTTCAACTTTAACTTCAACTCGTCACCACCAACCCGCTAGCAAGCGCGAAATCACACACATACAGTCGCTTATATACAAAGGGTGACGGCACTGGATCAGATTCTGTTACTGGGGCAAGGATGCGGAAGCTATGCCAATATATATAAATATTTGGAGCCTGTGCTGAATTAGAGCCAGTCATTTTAGTTGAGTAGTGCGCGAATAGACATTGAAAGCTTGCATATCTCCGATAAAGCTTCTACCAACATGCCATCTGATCGTATCTCTGTTGCAGCAGATGGCGGAGCTCGATGTCCTCGCGATCCAACCGATGCTACTTATTTTGAATTACACAAAGTAGACCGACTGCCGTTTGTGGAGAGGTTGGATGCTGTTTCGATTGAATGCCATTTGTGGAAAGCTTGGATGTTATTTCTGGACAGTGTGTCAAAAAAATAATTAATTATTAGAAAAATTATAATTAAATATAATTAATTATTTCTAATTATCACGTGAAACCCATATAAAAGTCATATAAGTAATAAATTCTCTTCTTTTTCTTTAAATAATATATGACTAAAGTATAAAGAGAATAAAGGTTAATTGATTTCCAAAGAAGAGAGAAGGAGAGCAAGGTAATATATATGTGAATTATTTGCTCTGTATATCACATGACCGCACCCACGTGACTAGAGAAGTCAAAACCCCTACTATCCCTTCGTCCACTGAGACATTGCCACATTAGCGGCCGCACATGAATATCCCTAATTTGGATTATGTTTTGGCCGAATTAGGGATATTCATATGCGGCCGCTAATGTGGCAATGTCTCAGCGGACGAAGGGATAGTACTTATTTACAAAGATAAATAAAGCGAGTAAAGGCGGGATACTAGCTATTAACCCTATAATAGTAAGGCGATATCTAAATTAGGGTAAAATATGCTTTACTTTTGCGCCATAACGCTTATATTATATTTGTAGTCACGTGTAATAACACGTGACCCAGTAATTAATTATATTTAATTAAATTAAGCAAATAATTAATTATAATTTGATTACTACGATTCTGACTTAATTTAATTTGATTACCGGCCAATAATTATAATTAATTAAATTATTTGACACACTGTTTCTGGACGAGATTGAATGCTTGTTTGTGGTTTCTGGATGAGGCCAAAAGCCGTGTGTGGTCAATACGAAATGCCGTTTGTGGAGAGTGCCAAGAAAGAGGTGAAGGCCGGATTCTGGAGTGGACCCGTGCGACGATGTAGGTTCTCGCGTGGCAGCCAGAAAAGGATTAGAGCAACAGTAGGAATTGGAGCCAGCGCCTGGATTGAAGCACAAAGTAGACTCCAAAGAAGTGGCAGAATCGAGTCAAAATCTAACCAAGTGCAGGCCAAAAGTGGACAAAAAGCTGGAACCAGCTAAGGGGGCTTGGTTGACAGGCCATATGTTTTATAGGCACCAATCAGAGGGCTTTAGATCACATGATTTTCAATGGCGTCAAGCTTCATCAAAATGTTTAATATTTCTCATTAAAAATTAAAAAGATGTTGTATAATACCCCAGTCATCATTCCTGCTTCACGTAATATCAAACGATAGAGTCGAGAGGTAGCTGTCAACTGTGATGTTCTACTACAGCGTGCCGGTGGCCACACCCCATAGCTGCACCGTCTTACGTGACGCCGACGCCAGCAGCATCGAGTCGGGCGAGAAGGCCACCGAGTAGACCCTGCCATTATGCCACTCCAGCGTCTGCTGGAGCGCACCGGTGGCTGTGTCCCAGAGCCGTACCGTATTGTCACCTGACGCCGACGCCGGTAACCTCCAGTCGGACGTAGCGGAAGCAGGGCCGAGCCGAGTAGTCAAGAGCTGCACTCGAATCTTGGCACCCTGCTTACACCCCCCAAGTTCTGGTACGCCATGTGCATGCCCTATCCGCGGCCATAATCTTCTGTTGGGCAATTTCTCTCATTTTTATGGACCCTCAATCTTCACACAGCTACCTGCTTTAAATCGACAAACATTAAATAAAGGCTCTTAGAAAAACAAGAGTTCCCGCACGCGTACACGCCGGCTTTATATACTCCTTACCTCTACCTGTACGGCCCCAGTAAGGCAGTAAACAACCCGGGACCGACCCCTACGAGATCAGGGTAAAATTGTTAATTTTAGCGAGCGGCCCTGATCTCGTTCCATCTCAACGTTAAATACACTACAGTCCCCTTTGTAGTGCAATCAGGAGAAGGGTTAATAATAATGTTTCATTTATTATTCTTTGCGAGAGACTCTTGCGCGCTCCGTCAAATTTAAGGAACAGAAGAGCGCATGCTACTGACTAATTATTTCATGTAATGCCCAAGGCTCCTCGAAATACGACTTAATTCGGACGATATTATTCCTAGTAATAATGCACATGCAAGATAATATTACATGGTCCAAAGCGTGTATAAAGGACGCACGCACGCGGTTGCAGGCAGCGTCATATATATTAAACCCTGCTATTAGTAAATAAGCCTTTACCATAGCCAAATAATTCGGATCCTATCGCTCTGGCATGAGATAGTAATTAGTAAGCATTTATTATATATCGCAATATATTCCGTTTAATCTAATTAACCTAATAGATAAAAGTTAGAGTTTCCGTTTAATATCGATATAGTTTAAGTAATATATGTCAGGTATTTAAATTCCAATAATAAAAAAGGAAGCCATATTATTATATAAAAGGCAATCGTCTTTTATTATATGTTATAAAGGAATTAGCCAATTAATTAGAAAAATGCCTAAGTATTATAATACGGCAGGCCGTACTTTCCAAAAATCATATTGTTTTGGCGGTTTTGAGGTTTTGGTCACATGGCAAAGGCCGCGGCCTTTTGCATGTGACTTGCGGAAATCATATAAGAAAGCTGGTTTTTCTATAATCCTAAAGAATAATCCCTTATAAGTATTTAATTAATTGAGCTTTTATATACTATATACTATTTATACTTTACTATTTATACTTTTAATTTGTTATTTTATTATTAAGTTACGTTTTATACTCTAGTATACTTTATATAGGTTTTTGTTTTATTATAGTTTTCTTCTTATATATTTTATAATAAGTAATATAGGGAAGATCGAAACTTTATAGTTAAGGTAATACTTTTATAAAGTTCTAAGAAATATTTATAAGGCGGATTATTAGCTTAGTAAGTTAGGAAAGAAAAAAGCTATTATAATACCTTGAGCCTAAGGCTAAAATATTAAGGATATATAAGTATTAATTTTAGTATTTTATATTAATTTCCAATATATCTAATAACTTGAATACGGATTAGTTATAAGATATAGTCACTAGTATAATATATAGAAATAATAGAAATAGAAGCTAATTATAGAAAGAAAAGAAATAGAGGAAATAAAATAAGAAATATTATACTGAGATAATATAAATTAGACTTTAATTAGAAATAGACTTTAGTATTCGAAAATAAAGTTATATTATTAATTTATATATTATTTTTAGATATAGTAAAGACTAGAATAAAAATAGTATTAGTTTTAGTAAAAAAGCTTATTTCTAAGTCTAGAAAAGATATTTAAAAGAGGAAATATTTTTAAATTTAAGTAAAATAATAAACTAGAATTAGAAATAAGAATTAAAAAGAAATTAGAAATAAAAAATTATATAGATAATTTAGAGAAGTTTCTAGAGAAAGAAAAGAATACTAAGTAAAGAAAAAAAAGAGAATTCAGAAAAGTCAGAAAAATTAGTAAAATTATATTTATTATTTTTATTATTAGATATATCTAGTTTAGCGAAATTAAGAGAAAATACTATAGGTATTAAATTAATAGAATAAAGAAGAAAGTATAAATAATAGAAATAAAACTAGAAAAGCTATTACCTTATTATTATTAATATTAAAATTCAAATCTAGACTATATTTATTATTATTAATTAGTTTCTTCCAAATTCCGGTTTCTAAATCAAAAGATATATTTAAATAAGACGTTAGTCTTTTAGAAACCTTATTAGTAAAAGTCTCAGATATAGAAACTTTATAATTTACTATAGAGGAAATTATTAAGATTAATATAGCTAAAAACAAGTATATACTAGTACTGGATTTAAATCTACTACTTATAAAAGCTTCTAAAATACTATAGTTTTAGGGAAATAATATTTTTATATAAATATATATAAAAACTATTATATTTCTAATAATACTAAAAAAAAGAGAATTATCTATTATATCTCTTTTATTTATAAGAATTAGATTAAGGCTATACTAGAATACTATATAAATAATTCAGGAAATTACTAGGAAACCAAATTCTTTAAGGCCTTATTAAAGAACTTCCGAGAATATAATTAGGAAATACTTAAAATTAGCTATAACTTTCTTAATTAAATTATTATATAAGTCTAAAATAGAGAAATCTTATCTAAATCTTATATTAATATATTTAATAAAATATTAAAGAAATTACTAAAGAGAAAAGAGGTAAATAAAATTACTTATATCAAGAATTTATAAAAGAATTATTTATTCTAATAAAAGATTATATTCTTAAAAATATAAACTTTGAGTCTATAAATATTTCTACTTATAAATATAGTAAGATATATAAGAAAATAATAATATTTTATTAGTATAAAGAAAAGAAATACTATTTTAATATTATTAATAACTTAGATATATTTAGATTTAAATAAGAATACTTAAATATAATAGTTTATAATATAGTTCTCAGGCCAGAAAATAATTATTCTTTACTAGTTTCTCCTATTATATTTTCTAAAGCTACTATAGATATAAATAAAAAAAGAATTCAGTCTATAGCTAATTATATAAAACTTATTAAAAGTAATAAACCTAAGAGAAAT